GTAAAAGCAACAACAAAATACATGTAAGGCGAAGAAATCAGCTGATTTTACAACACCACCTCGTATAAATTCGTCTTGGAGAGAATACAAGATTGCGCCTATCAGAGAGGATTTTAGAGAATATTTTTTTCGTGACGTCGCACTGGTGCAGCTGCGGGAGAGAAATGCCAAAACGCGAGCAAGAATAGAAAAAGAAATCTTGCTAGAAAAACGTACGAGATAGTCCATTTTCCATGGTGCTAGTTACACTAACAAATTATACGCAGAAATCCATGCAGTATGAGTTACAACAAACATATCATTTTGACGTAAGGTCCTCCACGGCGAAAAAGTCAGCTGTCGCCTCAACACTACCTTGTTAAATACACCCTGCCATTTTCCATGTAAAGCAATATTTCATTCAAGGTGTATTAAACAAGGTGGTGTTGGGGCGACAGCTGAGTTTTTCGCCGTGGAGGCCATTACTTCAAAATGATGTGTTTGTTTTAACTCATACCAATGACAGTATGGACATCAGCGTATAATTTGTTAGTGTAATTTTTTACTTATATACAGCCAACACCACCTTGTTAAATACGCCTTGATTTCATTGGTTTGCCAAACGTGGTTTAAACTAAATATGCGCGTTCCTTATCTCCCAGAAATAGTCAGAAAAAGTCCGAAGTAGTCAGATTTAGTCCAAAAAGCGTTCCTTAACTCGGAAATGACAGCAAAAATGAGAGAGCAACAGTCAGTGAGAGCGACTCTCATCAGTCCGAAGTAGTCAGATTTAGTCAGAAGAATTTTTTCTGGCAAAATCCTGAAAAGTGTCAAACTCAACTGAATTTAAATTAACGGAAATTAAAGAATACGCAAAAAGTGAGAATAATCTAAAAAGTAAAAGAAATGAATTGAAATTGGAAGAGGGGAAAAAATAATTGATATAGCAAGTGTTTATTGTGCTTGTGCTTGTGTGAATGTGTTTTGTACATACATTTCTGTTCTTATTTGACGTTAGTTTTGTTGTTGCCATTCTTTGGACTAAAAATTTGGTTTTTTGCGTTCCTTTACTTTTCCGGTTACTCTCTTTTAGTGAGCGCATTTTGCTTACGCTCTGGCATTTTGACACTTTTCAGAATTTAGTCCAAAAAGATAAGGAATGAACCTAATATTAGCCATAGTTAAAAATGCCCTTTTTATAGAAGCTTAATAAAAACAAAACAAATTTCAAGGGAAACTTTTATTTTTTAATTCAAAGTAAAACTTTCTAAAAAGCCAAATACACCACACACGAGGTGCGGTGTATGAAGGTTTGACAAGTCCTGTTGATGTTTGATGAAATCCCTTACGCTGTGTATGTAAAATCGCCTCATTCGAAACCAAAATGGAAGAAAACCAACCTTTTGTACATCGTGAGCCGGAATATATATATAACTAAAATTCTCTATTGAACGAGTTATCTTTGTATGGTATATGGCGAAATGAAAAAAATAGGTTTGAAAAGTCGCTGGTGTGGTTTATTTTGCCCTTAAGTTGTCAAGAATGATAGAATACAAGATTGCGCCGTCCTGGGTGTTGACATTTGTGTACCACAAGTAAACAAAGAATAGAGCGAAAAGAAGACCGAGTTGAAACAGCCAAAGCAGTTCACTTTACTGCGAAAAACGTGTTTTAATTTTGCTAAATGCGAAAATATTGCATTTTTCACCTAATCTATTAGAGAACAGTGAACATTGTAGTGCACTCCATTGCTTTACAATTGAGGCTGCTTCAGCAAACGTTTTAGTGCACTTCATTGCTTTGCAATTAAGGCTGCTGCAGAAAACTGCACCAGCATCTCTGCGGGACTGATAAGTTAACTTGCTAATGGAGGCTGCGTGGAACAGAAACAAAATCATTGTGAGGAAATGCTGTTAATATAATAATAGAGAAACATTTTGGGAACGGCTTTGTCGTGCCCTATGTACACAAAATGCACCGATTCGTCCCAGCGCTACACTTGTATCTACGCTTCTTGCATCTTGACGGTTGTCGCAATTTAACACACAGCACTTCATTGTATTAGTTTTTACGCAGTCTTCAACTCAAAAATCACTCACTAATTGCAAATTAACTGATTTTTCACTTATAATTCAAATTTCTCTTTCGCTGATATGTAAACAAAGGTTTATTTACAAGTTACCACAACTGTCAAAATCGGCAAAACCAAAGTAGCGGTACCACTGACGGCGCCACCTTTGTTTGCTGCACCGTGTTAAGTTGTTGTATTAAAATACCCCAGAAATATTTATTTGTTTATTTGAGTCAGCAGCTTGTCAACCCTACTGTATTCAACAGATTACATCTAAAAGTGATGGAAGTTTTCAAAATCCTTCAATTTTCGATAATTCGGTTTTATTTAATTATAATAAAATATATAACAAAATAAATGAATTATTCTTAAAATAAATTGTACTATATTCGTTAGTGGAATAAACGTTTTTATAACAGTAATTAAGAAAATGGGATTCTGCATGTTTTCCATTGGCAACTTTACTTTCTATTCATTACCTAAGCATTGAAAATTATAGGTTATTTTTCGTGGAGCTCATGATGACAAAAAGCCGTTCGGATATGCCATCACTAACGTCTGCATACATATGTATATAAAAAATATGCATAAAATATTAAATAAAGTGTTGGAGGTACGTTATTTTGGTTATGTAAATTATTAAATATTTGCATACGCAATAATAGAATCTTGTGACGCAGAGATACGAAAAGCGAAAGCTTTGTGTGAGACTTTTTTGTTAACCGCAGCTTCACTTAATACGGCATGGATATGAATGTAAGTAAAGTGCATACTACCATTGGAACAGTTGCCTCAATATAATGCTTTGACTAAACTAATTATTCTCATTTGTAAAACTGGTTTTCAAGTTGATGTTGTGCTTGGAGAGTCTGGCGAAAGTTATACTCTCTTGCATACAGCAGAGGCGCTTTGTAAATAGTTGCTAATTGTTTATTATACGATGTAGTTTACTTACACGTTAAGGTGAAAAACTTTCATATTTTTGAAAACTTCTTTCCAAATAGGCTGCAATGCTTGCGCGCGTGTCTTTCTATCCAACATTGCTTTACAATGTTTTAATGGAAAAGGCCACTTCAAGAAATTGGTATGATCGCATTGATGACAATGTCATTTTGGGTGCATTGCCTTTCCGTTCGCAGGCAAACGAAGTAAGTAAACTTTCATTACACTAAACACTATCCTCTAATCTCTATTATTTTGCTAGTTGATGACCAAAGAAAATATGAAAGCTGTCATATCCATGAACGAAGACTACGAACTCGCCATGTTCTCTAATGATGCACCTAAATGGAAATTATTAGGAATTGAATTTCTCCAACTGCCCACAACAGATATTTTTGAATCGCCAAATCAAGATAAACTTTATAATGGAGTAGAATTCATAAATAAATTTATACCTAAGGATAAGCGCATAAAAGGTTTGAGCACCTCCTCCGAATCAGAAAATAATGGAACTGTGTATGTGCACTGCAAGGCGGGGCGAACGCGCAGCGCTACACTTGTTGGTTGTTATTTAATGATGGTGAGTCAAAAATCATTTGTATGCAAAGCGAGAATTAATAGGATGGTAAATATTCAGATGTAGTTAGTTTTATTTCGTTTATACCAATAGAATATGCGGCCGGTTTTTTCACCTAATAGTAAGGTATTGTTTTTTTTTCTTAAAAATGCATGTAAAGGGGTCTGTTATCATGTACAAACGGGTAAACTCTTTCTACAAATCGTTAGCTCAGAGTGAATAGTTAGACAGCTACCGTTTTTTTTTATTTTTTGCTAAAATAATTTTCTTCAATTATTTAACCAGTCTTTGAATATGTGTGTAAATACAGAGCTTTGGGGGGAGATTACGATAACCGTGGTAACAAATTGTGACTTTGCCATTACCATTATACTTGCTTCAAAAACCTCTATCGACGTCCTTGTTCAAAATTTGTCGCCCCGGTTATCGTAATCGTACCAACTTTGGTGTATTCAAAGCAAAGCAGAACTCCGTACGAATCGGTAGAATTGGACATTAATGAAGCTTTCGTTTTCTTTTGGACTCACCGTGCCATTTTTGGAATATAATTTCCATTTTATTGAATAAAATGCATTTTAATTTTCCTTGAAACGGTTGGGAAATAATTTCTAAAATGATGCTTGTACAACTACATATTGCACAATTTTTTTTAATCTAAAATTTGCCTTTCATTTGCTTTCTAATTTGTATGTGCATACAAATAATACATAACAATACAAAAGTGCTATTCTCAACTTGTAATTTATCTCAATTTAACAAGCTATATAAATAATTTATAATTTCTTTTGTTAGAAAAATGGTTGGACACCGGAACAAGCTGTGAACCACATGCGTACCTGTCGGCCACATGTATTATTACATACAAAGCAATGGGATGCCCTTAGAACATTCTACAAAAAGAACGTTGAAAATACGTGACACTGAAACCTCTATGCATATTTAATTCAAATGATATTTAAATTCACGATATATTTCTTTGTACATATTCGGTATTAAAGTAACCAAATATCAGTTGTTATATACCTTGGACATTGTTGTCTAAATATTTTTGTTCAGTTTATCGCATCTTTAGAAATACAGCTTAAACTAGAAGCAGGGATTAAAGCTTAAATATTAAGCACACCCAGCTGTTGTTGTTGTTGTTGTTGTAGCAGCATACAAAATCCCCAGACTTTTTGGGGAGTGTTGCTGGAGTGACAGTCCTTGGCCAGATATAAATCTGGGTCGTTCCGGTTACGTAGACCCGACTGTCGTGGGAACGACACCCAGCTCTCAATGATAGCTATCTGCTATTGTTTACATAATGCCCCAGCCTTTGGTATACTTAGTACAATTTAAAGTTACACCAGATATGATATATATATAATGAAACGAGATTAGTTTACTTAAAATTGTGGTAATTTTTCGAAAAATAAAAACATTGCACAGATATTAACATTCACAAACAACAAACTATTTCACATGAAACAGGTTTTTATGATTCAATCCATTGCCCTTTTCATAATTAATTGATTTCGGTGAAATTCATAATGCTTTATTTTCTTTTTCTCTTCTATAGAAATTCTTTTCATTCGTCGGTGCAGGAATCTTCCACATCCTGGCATTATTTTGACATACATTAATTAAAAGATAAATCAAAAATTACTTATTACTTGCTTCTTTAGCAATTGGTTCAGATCCAGCTCCCCTAATCTTCCACAACTGTTTAACAGAATTGGCAATACCGACATCATTTTGAATAATGTAGAAAAGACCACCAAGAGTAGCTATAGACAACACAATCAGAGCTCCATGAGCAACCTTTGGCAACAATGGTCCAACTACTTGCGGCCGTGCGTAATCTGTGATTATAGCTTCCACGCCCCTTTTGATAAAAAGTTATTACGTATGATTTTTAATTAATGACGATATATATATATATATATATATATATATATGTATGTATCCTACCAATGAGAATGAAGAACCACGGAGATTGCTAGAAGAGCATCAAGTGTCTGCGAGGGATAAATAAAGGCTCCGGGCACAACACCCAAAAGAGCGAGGGAGATCAAACGTTCCGCAGTCCATAATGGCGTGTGATTACCCTTGGCTGCAGCCATCTTGGCCGCGCTTAGGGAAAAGCTCCTTTGTAAAGTCTGATGGAAGAATAATGTGGTTTTATAATACACAATTAATTAAGCATTAGATGCACTATCTTACCTGTGCATTCTTGAAGAATGTCAACGTTTTTAAGCTTCCAGCAGAGAAAGCACTCTTTGTGGTCAACGTCTTAATGGGCAATGACAGATGGGCAGTGGTCTTTGCAAGTCCAATGGCTTCATGGTTACAAAAGAATTTATACGATTATATAATACAAATTTTTGTATTTAAAGTTTACCATTCAATTTCGCGGCATTGCGCAGCATAACAGATAAAGCCATTTTCGAATTAACACTAGGATACAATTTAAAAATGTTTATTGACTGAGTTTGGCTATGTACGTTAACGCAAATCGACCAACTCCTTTCCTGTTCCTCGGGGTATCGGATTTTGTTTTTTTTATAATTTTCACAGGCAATTGATAAAAAAAACAACCGTCAAATGTCAAAAAAACACTGTCGCGCTGCCACTGTTGCCGACTCAGTGCTTTTCGCACTAATCCAAAACGCGAAAATTTTTGAGTTTGTTGCTTGGTGCGTTTTTTGGTGCTTTTTTTTTAGCAACTTTACAAAAATGGAAACAAAATCATGGCACAATGACAATCGTAAGCGAGCATATGTTTTCCCACCATGCGGTCAAATAAGGCACGTTAAAAAGGGAATTCAAATTTCGAAATCATAAGAGACCGCAGTGTAGATTTAAAATACCGCATAGCTCATGAAACTTCAGTTTTTGTTTATGCTTTCGTTTGACAGGAATTGTAGAAAAAATTATGCGAAACGAAGAAAAATTTAACATAAAACAGTCAGGGAAAAATTAAAAAATTTTTCTTAAATCTATGCAAAGCGGCAACGCCAGACACAGTTGCAAATTAGAAAATAATAACAAGAATGTTATCGTCGCTTGGACGAAAATATTTGAATGTATAGAGAACAGAAAAAAACCGACCGTCGAGCAAGAAACATTGATTTTTATTAATTTAAATCGGCATCTCTACAAAATAATTTTTATGCGTATAAAGTCCATTAATGAGTATTAAATAAAAATTTGGTGCTTTTTTCGAGAAAAAACGCGATTTTCTTAGGTTTTAGTGCTTTTTCAAACTCAAAACCTGGCAACACTGCGCGCTGCCAATTGCAGTATTTCGGTTATCGATAATCATAGAAATGCTGCCACTTGTAATAAAATTTAAAAAATGTTGGCAAACGAGGGCGTTATTACAATGAACGTAAATCTACGGTTGACAAAAATTTTTTAGAATTTATGACCGAAGCTCACAAAGCAATCTTGTACAAGGTGGTGCTACTGGCGAATTTAGTTTTTCGCCGCGGTACTTAATGTCAAAATTATATGTTTGTTGTAATATGAATTCGCTTTGTTTACAACAAACACATCATTTTGACATTAGGGAGTACCGCGGTGAAATTCTAAATCCGCCAGTAACACCACCTTCAAAGGTAGAATTGTAAAATCAGCTGATTTCTTCGCCTTACTTGTATTTTGTTTTTGCTTTTACTGATTTGACAGCACACCCATCCAAAGCAAAAACAAAATACATGTAAACTTTGGAGTGAATTGAGATGTGACATAACACCCGCAATACAAAATACAAGGCGAATTTATATAAGGTGGTGTTACTAACTCAGCTGATTTTGTGTATTTGTTTCGCCGCACGGCTTCTGATATCAAATTGAAAAATTTTGTTTGAATTTCTACACACACTCTTACAGATTTTGACAGTTTTTGCCGCCAAAGCAAAAACAAAATACATGTAAATTTTTGTTTTTGTACTCCTGCTATTCCTGCTATCACCTTATATTAATTCGCATTGAACTCACTTATGTATGTGATTTTAGAAGTTTTGACTTAAGATCAAAATATCATGGGCCAGTGATGCAAAAAAAATTATTATTATTTTTTGTTAAACTAAAATCGGAAGCAACTTGACGAAGTACTGCGTTTAGAAGTTTAGAGAAAAAATGTCTTAACACGAGATAAGTTATTTTCGCAAATTTCCTCAGATATTTCTGCGGACTTGCCACTGTTCATTTGGCTGGCTGTGATTTCTTCAATTTTACATTTTAGAATTTTTGTGGCCCTCGCGAAGAAATTTCGCTTGTGGCGGATGCGGGCAGACGTGTGACAATTGAATTAATGAAATGAATAAGTTTGACCTTGAAGAGTACGCGCATGCGTTTATGAATGAAATTCTTTTTGTTGTATTTTAGTCGCATATGCGTTTTTACTAGGGCTGATGATTTCACCCGGGTAATGAGGTACCCAGTATGGTAATTACCCGGGTACCCGGGCACCCGAAAAAATGCGGAGAGGTAAAAATTAAACGCATTTACGATTATATAACGCAAACGAACGTACATAGGGAAAATCTATAAGAATCTTCCATACCATATGGGGAAATATTATAATATATATTCGTATCTAAAGGTAATAGCAATAATTTTACGATTGTAGAGGTATTAAACTGTAGGGAGCTAAAGAAATAATAATAACAGATAATTTCGTTTTTATAAAATATGACTAGGTAAGAATGTTACTCATACGCCATGTATGTATGTACTATTAATGAAATCATAGGCATAACTATTTGTGTGGAGACTGTTTGTATTATGCCGCATTTTCATTTGACCATTTGCAACCTTATTTATCAATCAAGTCAATTACTTGGGAATCCATCTTGATCTCAGGTTTTCGTGGAAATTGCATATTAAAGCGAAAAAAAGTCAACTTGCATTAAAAACATTAAGAATGTACTGGCTGCTTGCTGCAAAATCTGAGCTGAGTTTAGAAAACCAAATCCTTCTGCACAAAGTTATGCTGAAGCCGGTTTGGACATACGCTATGCAACTATGGGGTACTGCGAGTAACTCAAACAGAAATACTACAGCGGTATCAAAATAAGGCCCTGAGAAGTATTGTTAATGCTCCTTGGTATGTCACCAACTATGCCACTCACCAAGACCTCAAAATTCCATTTTTCAGGGAAGAAATCGTCAGACTCAGTGATAACACGATCTTTTTTTGTTGTTACTATCATAACAAGTTTTAATAATTATGTATATAAAATAATTACATTATCATTACAACAAGTTTTTATTTTGATGCAAGAAGACTAGCAAGTTAACCGAATCGGGGGCCAAACACGATCTTTTCGCCGTTACAATATTTCCAGCCGTAGAGAAGAGTCTTTCTGAGCTTGCTGAAGAGGCGGGAATGGCTAGATATCTCTTCGCCAAAGACGCAACTGCAGGGAGGGAGTGTTCTCTAGTGCGCCACCACACAAGCGGGTCCAATCTATTTGCTATCTCAGGTTCCGCTACATAGCGCTCAAACTGAGAGATTGTGTCTGACATTTGTTCTTCCGTAGCGAACAGGAAATCCAACTCTTGGTCGTCACATTTTCCGGACTCCTTTACGGTGAGCTCTGTCGTCGACATTTCAGAGATAATTTTTTTGACCTGAGCACGGACTTTAGCTGCCACACTACTATTTTCCACCTGGAGATCTTTATATCTCGGATCAAGAAAACAAGCTATCTGCTCTGGCAATACTTCAAAATCTTCAGAAGTGCAAGAGTCGTCTTCAAGTGTAAACCGCTTTTTGAGGGAATAAATAATGCTGGACTTGAAGTTGGTCACAGGGTTACTGTCCTCGGGCTTTGGTCCATAGTGGTTACTAATTAAAGTTTGGACTACTGGGCGTTTTGCGGAAAATGTTACTTTGGTTTCGCTACATAAAAATTTTGTTTTTTTTGTTGTTTCGTTCTCGTATTAAGGAAACTTCATTAAATAATTGTGATTTTAAAAGCTTTAAATATTATGTGAAAAGAAACTATAATTTGAACAAGCTGATACAATAAAAGTACAAAATCTTTAGGTGAATGAATAGCATAAGGCTTTGTCACCTTACTTTTTGTACCAGAAGCGGCCTACCACAGGGTTTAGTTCTTATATAATTCCCAATGAGAACGTTCTCGTCAGTTTTGTTCTCATTTTGGTTTTGGTTTTGACGCGTTCTTGGGAACAAAACTACGACAATGGCATTTAGTTTCGATCATACATTTCGTTCTCAGTCCCTGTTTTAAAATATTAATATTTAATATTCTTTAAAATATACATACATACATACATATGTACACATGCATGTTTGTATATGCATTTACAAATATTAGAAGTTTGAATTTAAGTACAGAAACTAATGTTTTAATTTACTTTTCTTGTCTCCGTCTACTCAGGCAAGCGGTTAGGTGTACATAGTCGCGTACACTCTAGACATAAAAAAATAATTATAAAAAAAAATTTTCTCACTGAAAAAATATTTATCCTCACCAAAAAGATTATACAAGAAGCTTTATGTCGCATTACCCGGGTGTTTTTCGTTTAACCGGCACCAAAATATGTATATTACCCGGGTACCCGGGCAAATCGGGTAATACCCGACTACCCGGGTAATCGGGTACCCGGGCATTACCCGGGCACCCGGGTAACCGGGTACCCGGGTATCATCAGCCCTAGTTTTTACATACATACGTATGTACGTACGTACGCATATTTGCATGAATGTAGACATTTTTGGAGGGAAATCGCATGAGTATATTTGTACAAATTTATTGATTATAAATGTACATTTGGTTGTTATAAAAAGGGTAATTTCATCCATAAATTACAACTTTAAAACTTCCATACTAAAGAGGAAGCCTTAAAGACTACGAGTTTAAGGAAATCCCTTAATTAACTTTAAAAATAGCGAACCTTAATTATGTACACAAAGTTAGCTTTAATCAAAAATTAAAAAATTTAAAAAAAATTTAAATTTAATTTTATTTAAATATTTTACATTTAAATATTTAATATTGCTTTAGCTATATATTTTTAATGTCAACATTTTGAATTTGAAAAGATTATTTATGTAAAGTTTTAAAATTAACTATTGCATTACAGATATTTATGAAATGTCAACTTAAAGCTAACAAATACGATTTTTAGTTTACAATGGACGGTATGTATACATCTGATATGTATGTAAGTAGACTTCAGTAATTTTTTGTTAAGAGGTAATAAGACACATTCGATTTTATATTTTCGTAGATGATACGCACTATTAAGAGATTCTTTTTTAAACTAATTTCGTTGAATTGAGAAATTTGTAAACTTTCCTCAAACCCAAAATATTTAAATTTGATATGAGAACCAAAATAGAATGCAAGCTATAAGGTTTATAAAAGAAAAACTCGCATATGATATTAAAGTACTAGCTGATGCCTTATAAAAGTCCCAATCGAATATGATGTTGGACGCATCTGAATCTTTCCATGGGTATGCGCCATCGTCAAAGTACATAGGGCAGTCGTCACGTTCTCGCTCGTATTCTATGGCATCAATGGCAACTGCTGCACCCTCGGTGTGATTCCACGAGGTAACGTCTTGATTTAGTTTACAAAAGGCGCCTACCGCTGCAAAATATTAAATATATTATCTACAGTAGGCATATGTACGGTAAAGTGTGCATACCTTGCGACATTAACACGCGATTTAAGTCAGCGCGCTGATATACCCAGCATCGGTACTTAGAGAGCGGATCCAGGTCATCATAAGTGATAAGATAGGATTTAAGATTCTCTTTCCAAAAACCAATGCATTTCATGCGATAATCCGGATCACCTAAAATGTAAAATTTTAATCAGAAATAGTTGTATTTAAAACTTATGTAGTGAGAACAACATACTATATATATCCACAGGCCTTCCCAAATGATCCACTGACAGACAGTAATTTTCATCAATAGCCAGTTCTTTTTGATCCGTATCACATACCGACATATCTGATATATTTTGCTTGCAATGTATATTCGGCCGAGGACTTAGCGTTACACCTCCAAGAATTCTCGTTTTAAAAGGATGCTCTCCATGCTGTGTAAAGTTGAATTTTCCTGCCACAGGGCAACGTACTGGCAACGGATTCTTTGCCAAAAACAAGTCATATTTCCACGCTTCGGCATTTTTGAATTGCACCCAGGAGCATACTGTACTGAAATCGTCCTTAATAACAGCTAAACCCTTGCGATAGCGTATGATGTTATGATGCCGTGGCTGAAAATCGAAACATACATAATCTTTTTGGCAACCGTCAACCGTAAGACGTGCCATCATTATTCGATTATCACGCCGCTCACGGCAAACATATATAGTACGTCGGTAGCGGGCTCGATCTGGGTAGTAAGTTTCATTGATGTGAGTTTCACTAATCGATACATCAGCATCAATATTTGCTGTGTTTACCCATTCACCCGAAAAATTTTGCGGAAGTGTGCAACCCGGTTCAACGTATTCTGCTTTTACAGGTGTAAGCTTTAGACGTTCTGGTGAATTTTCTGGCGTTTTTAATGTATTACATTCGGCCGTAATAGAAACACCGATGTACAAATCATCGTCCCGATTCTTAAGGAAGCATCGATACTTTTCATCTTTGCGCGATTCTTTGGTATTGGCGACCGCAAAGTAATGGTTTTTGCCAACAAACCAATCTCCTAAGCAACTATACTCTACTGTACCGGTGAAGGTGCCTTCCATACCCTCACACTGCTGGTAGGTGACGTTAAACTTTTGGTTTTGTATCAAGAACTGCGTACCAGCAGTTTGACAAGATTGAATGCGAGCATCAGGCTTATTACAAACACCAGTAAACCGGAACCGATTCTTAATAATAAAAATATTAATATCTTTGGATCCGCGTATGCTTGTAGCCCAAAATTACCTGGTATGTGAAGTGCCACACGCCTTCTAATGAAGAACGACAATTGAGAGGCACAAAATTTTCATTGAATAAAGTCACTAGCTGCTGGTCGTCCCTAATTCCTTTACAAACATTTTCCACGCTTGGCTCTGATCCCGCGAGTATAGAAATGCAAGGTCCTAAAACGCGAATAACTAACGCTAGAAAAATATGTAATACGTACTAAAATTTGTACGTACCTTCGACTTTCTCAAACACATTAAGCGTCCTTATGACCGTTCGGACGCAGTGATAACAATTTGCTGAGCGCTCTTTAAATATAAAGTGATACTCATCTCCGTGTCCAGACATCGTTATACAAACACCTCTGCGTGACATCGAGGTCGCATCTATGACTGTTAGTGTGGGTGTGCCAGTTTCCCATGAGAACCAACTTCCCTGAAGAATTTTGGGTATAATACATCTATTTTGTTTTTGTTCCAACTGATTATACTGGGCCGAAACTAAAAATGCAAAAATTATTAAATACAATTAAAACAAAGTTTCAGTCAGCGTTCTGCTATGTGAGGCACGATGAGACAGCTTCTAATGCAAGCAGGGTGTGGCTAATCGCCTTTTGCTTACCTATGCTCACGGCGCCGAGAAGGTAAAATAGTTTTACCACACACATTATGAGCTTAGCATTTGTTTTCTAATTTGTACTTAAATATCAATTTTAAACTTTACAAGGAATGCAAATAGATTTAAAACTATTAACCACAGTGCACTGTGCTATAAACTACAAAATCTAAGCGATGGAATGTGCATATAGAATAATGCAAAACAAAAGCATTATTTAGGAATGGCAAAGTCGACTTCGACATTCGACAGAAATCGACTTTTTACTCCTGGATTTCGAATTTTAGTGATCGACTTTCAGTTTATGGAAGTCGACTAAAGTCGACTTTTCACTTTCAGCTCTCGACCCTTTTAAATTTATTTGAAGTGGCGTCTCTTAAATTAAAACTGATATTCTAATACCNCGAGGCACGATGAGACAGCTTCTAATGCAAGCAGGGTGTGGCTAATCGCCTTTTGCTTACCTATGCTCACGGCGCCGAGAAGGTAAAATAGTTTCACCACACACATTATGAGCTTAGCATTTGTTTTCTAATTTGTACTTAAATATCAATTTTAAACTTTACAAGGAATGCAAATAGATTTAAAACTATTAACCACAGTGCACTGTGCTATAAACTACAAAATCTAAGCGATGGAATGTGCATATAGAATAATGCAAAACAAAAGCATTATTTAGGAATGGCAAAGTCGACTTCGACATTCGACAGAAATCGACTTTTTACTCCTGGATTTCGAATTTTAGTGATCGACTTTCAGTTTATGGAAGTCGACTAAAGTCGACTTTTCACTTTCAGCTCTCGACCCTTTTAAATTTATTTGAAGTGGCGTCTCTTAAATTAAAACTGATATTCTAATACCATGTTCGGACCGACAACGAAAAAACTTTGAAAAGGAGTTTTGGGATTGTGGGCTGAAAGCTGTTCGCACTGGTTGTTAATGATTTCGTTGACATTTCTTTCATCCTTTTATACAGTTTTTCTACGAAAAACCAAAATCAAAATCTTTGCCTTTCATTTTGTTATCATTAGCAACCTTTTTTTGTTCATATTATAATTTGGGCAGCCAATTGACAATACCCGCCCAATTCTATGTCGCCGGTTCAAATGCCGGCACTTGGAGTATTTAATTGTTAGAAACAAATTTATTAATATACAAAATTTATACATTTCACATGAAATTTTAATTTGTCAATAGTATTTTAAATCTTGATAAGTTATTAAGAAAAGAGCTTTCGATTTCTGTGCTAGAATACCAATCCTGGATAAATCGGGCTGTAAATCTCACCTAGCGTATTAAATATGATTAAATATGACATCCACTTCGATAAATATATCTAAAATAAAATGAAGACACCGATTGGGATGATGGAACGTGAGTTTTCAAGTAGTAGTTATAGCAACGAAAACATGTTTTCGATGTCGGTCCGATCATGGTGTAATTCGCTCCCAAAATTTTGTATGGCGAATTTCGTGATTCGAAAGGTAATTCGGGTGAAGTGGGAAAGCCGAATTTTATGGGCTGTTTTTGCTTACGCGTAAAAGCACATTTAGCGCATTTAACTCTAAATGCTACTCTAAATGTACATTTATCCATACAAAATTCGTCACCTAAATGCAACTAAATGCAACTCCATTTTTGCATTAAGAATCTAAATGCTAAAAGCAACCCTGTTATCTTCCAAAATTTCCACGATTCGAACATGGTTTAATGAGAAAAAGTGGCAACATTGCATTTTCGAGTATACAGTGGCTAGCTGCGTTTCAGTGATCGCCGATCGAGATTTCATTTATTATTTTACATTATTTGGATAAAGAAAAGTTAAGAAAATTCAATATCGATGTGCTGCTGATAGAAATCTGGATAAATTTGTGATCAATTCTGTTTGTTTTGTTTCCTAATTAAGTGAAGAAATTTTAATTGACAGCACCGACAAATGAATATATCTGTGTTCGTATGGAAAAGTAGCTTATGTCGAAAGGCTGGCTTTAGTATAAATCGGTATTCGCAGCATACGATTGCGAATTACTCACTGGCGGTGAGCCGTTGAGAACTTTTGGCAAATAAACGTGCAAGAAATTGTTCCGATACTAGCAAGTTAATGTTTTTATTAAGTCTCATAAAAAAATTCTTTGTCGTTTAAAGAATAAAGGAAATGCCGCATTATACTAAAGCCAGCCTTTCGACATAAGCTACTTTTCCATACGAACACAGATATACATAAACAAATGGTCGGTCATAGTTAAAACAATTCAAATTTTTGTATTGGAATTTTGGTTTAAAATTTATTTTTTCCTTTTCAGTAGGGTTTTTGCACATTATCTTCTGCGTGAGAATTGATCGTAATAGATACGGATCTGAATAAGCGACTGGAACACGGCTGTTTGTCAAATGCATACGATTTCGAACTCGCGTAAATGTACATTTGCTAAATGCGATAGCATGAACGCTCTTCGAAAACATATGTTCGAAAGTGCTAAATGTTGCATTTTAAATGCAGCAAAATTTCACACCAATCAGCGCAATCTTGTATTCTACAGAGCATGTCATGCGGAGAAATTTCAGAAAGCAGTTGCATAAGCATTCACACCTCGCATGTAAAGTGTCTTTTGAAAGAGGTTTTTTTTTATATTTCTGAAAGGCGAATTGCAGATTGCTAGTGCAGCACGAGCAAGTTGAAATATATTTCCGAAATCGATTTGCGCGCTTTGAGTTGCGGTCACAACTTGCAACTTTCATTTCTGAAACTGATTTCCGAAAAGTGACAGCAAGGTCTTTCTGGCTATTAACCATTGAAATAGAATTTCTCTTTCTCAATTTGACAGCGAATTTGTTGGAAATTTTGGAAATATTGCCAAGTATGACACTCTTTAATGGGCTCTGTCACACGGTCAGTATTTATTAACGTGATCCAAGTATCGTGATATTCATTGACGGTGTAGCATGCAGTATTGATGGATCGTGATCCATATCGAAAAATTTCTAAAAAATTTGAAATCTGGATCGCGGAGCGCAACACCGTCAACAAATATTGAACGTGTAGCACTTTCAAATCGCGATCCATACATTTCGTCAGTACATCTTTTACTCTCATAAAGCGAACGTCGAAAACGTATTCGCTCTGCCTTCACTCTCGGTGCTTAAAACCTTTCAAAAGGAATTCAAAAAATTTGTATTAACATTGGAAATTTTAAAATAATTGTTGAATACATTATCTGTAATTTAAGCTTTCAGCACAAAAATAATGCAAATACTGACGCGATAAATATTGAACATGTAGCATTCATGCGCGATCCATCAATCCATCAATATGGATCACGATTCAAATATCATGATAATTACTGACCGTGTGACAGGGCCCTATCGGTCTTGGAACGATAGAATACATCGTGCTGCCGTACCGAGTACTAATTGCACATTGACATTTCGAATTTCGAAAACGCGTGCATTTTTCACAGCAGCGGCACAGTGAGTCAGCCGCATATAGTTTTATCGTCCGCATCTTTATAAATTGTTGATCTTGATACAAAAGTCCTTACGGAATCATAAAAAAATGTCTACAATTGCTAGCCCTCTGTCCATTGCGGGCACTAGACAATTTGGTGCTTCCGTGCGTACCCAGAATGGTAAGAAATACCAAGTGTTAGTAACATCTGCCATTGCATAGCCGGGAAAGCGTGAAGAAAACATGTGATATGTTGAGGCTTTTCGGGTATTTGTAGGGTTTCCTGAAGAAGTTCAGTCTTAAATATGCTAAAATCTGCATAAAGTACTTTAATTATACCTTTCACATGCTAGCAAAACGTATGTAAACTAAAAAAAAGTGAGGTTAAGTTCGGCTTTAGATAGCACATCCTGTAAGGCATGGTATATAACATGGTAATCGTTCGTTCAATTTCAGTTATGGCTGCCAGCTCAATTGCAAATATAGTCAAAAGCTCTTTGGGTCCAGTTGGTCTGGATAAAATGCTGGTAGACGATATTGGTGATGTCACTGTCACAAACGATGGAGCAACAATACTTAAACTTTTGGAGGTTGAACATCCTGCAGCCAAGTAAGTTGATTCGAAAGGAAAACTTTTGAGGACATATATACATAATTAATTTTTAAGGGTGCTTGTTGAACTAGCGCAACTGCAAGATGACGAAGTTGGTGATGGTACTACCTCCGTGGTTATATTGGCTGCAGAGCTACTAAAGGTATTTTTCTTTTTTAATTTCAATATTTCTTACTTTAGAAATATAGCGGCATTGATATTTTTTAGAATGCCGATGAGTTGGTAAAACAGAAAATTCATCCTACTTCAATTATTGCTGGATTCCGTTTGGCATGCAAAGAAGCCTGCAAATACATTTCAGAGCATTTGACAGCACCTGTTGATGAATTGGGACGAGATTCCCTTATTAACATCGCAAAGACATCAATGAGTTCAAAGATTATTGGTGCTGATGCGGATCTGTTCTCAACAATGGTGGTGGATGCAGCACAGGCCGTAAAGGTAGTACATATCTCGAAAATAATTTCGTACAATAGTTAATTTTACGTGTTACGCTAGATCACGGATCCAAAAGGCAATCCTTTGTATTCCATAAAAGCAGTGAATGTGCTAAAAGCGCACGGCAAATCAGCACGAGAATCGGTTTTAATACCTGGTTATGCTCTCAACTGCACTATTGCTTCGCAGCAAATGCCGAAAAAAATTATCAACGCAAAAATCGCGTGCCTCGACTTTTCATTGCAAAAAACTAAAATGAAAATGGGAGTTCAAGTGCTTATTAACGATCCTGACAAATTGGAAGGCATTCGGGCCCGTGAAATGGATATTACCAAGGAACGTATTAATAAGATACTGTCGACTGGGGTGAATGTTGTGCTCTGTTCTGGTGGTATCGACGATCTTTGCATGAAGTATTTCGTAGAAGCCGGCGCTATGGCTGTGCGACGCGTTAAGAAGGGTGACTTGAAAATTATTGCAAAAGCTACTGGAGCCGCTTTTCTCACTTCACTCACGAATATGGAAGGGGAAGAAAGCTTCGAACCATCGATGGTGGGAGAAGCTGCTGAAGTTGCCCAAGAGCGTATTTGCGACGATGAACTAATAATAATAAAGGGCACCAAAGCTAGGTATATAATATAGATACGTTTTTCTCCAATATCTTGCGTTAAATACAAACATTACGTTCATAGAGCTGCTGCTTCCATTATTTTGCGTGGGCCAAATGATTTCTATTGTGACGAAATGGAACGTTCTATACATGACGCACTGTGCGTTGTTAAGCGTGTATTGGAAAGTAAGAAGGTCGTAGCCGGAGGGGGTTGTGTTGAAGCTGCACTTTCTATTTATTTGGAAAATTTCGCCACTTCTTTGGTAAGTAAGGTCTAAGATAACAAAAAAAAATCTATAGTCATTATCCTATTGCAGAGCTCCCGCGAACAATTGGCAATTGCCGAATTCGCCAAATCTTTACTTGTCATTCCGAAAACTTTGGCGGTCAACGCCGCTAAAGACGCTACCGATTTGGTGGCGAAATTGCGTGCCTACCACAATTCTAGCCAGACAAAAACAGAACATGTACAGCTTAAGTGGACTGGTCTAGATTTGATCGAAGGTGTTGTAAGAGATAACAAGAAGGCTGGTGTGTTGGAACCTGCTATGTCAAAAATAAAATCGCTTAAATTTGCTACCGAAGCTGCTATTACAATCCTGCGTATTGATGATATGATAAAATTGAATCCAGAGGAAAAGGGTGGCAAAAACTACGCTGACGCCTGCGCCGCCGGGGAATTAGATGGTTAAGGCCATCGCATTTGATTAACTTGTATTGATTCTATATACTTATTGCACACATTTACAATTAAATTTACACTTTAACGATAGGTTTAAGTCCTGGATCGGCAGTTACTAATGTCGCTATGAAACCGCGTATCACACATTAACAACACTTACTCTGTTCATTCTTATTTACGATAATATATTTGAATAAATATTGAACTTCAGAGACATAAATTATACACTTTTTATTATATGAATATTACTGAAATCCCGATGAAATAAAATTTGATAGGGTGAGATTTAAATTATTCTTTTGAATTATATGTGCGTATACATATTAGAGCTACTGGTGGCATGTGTTTATTCGGCGACGCGCGCACTCTGCGTACTGCCTATAAATAGAACATGCAGTGAGGTATCTATAAATATAGAAAGAAGAAGACAAGTATTGAGAAAAATAGTAGATTGTTTAAATAGAAGCTAATACCTACGGAAATTGGGAGAAAATTAATTAAAATATAAACATGTCCGAAAACTCCGCAGTTCCAGTTGAGGATGTCAACAATAATTCAGATAATGGACAGGTACCTCCACAGCAAGAACAGGAACAACATGTGCAGGAACAACAAAGTAATGAGCTCTTGGATATAGTTTTCACATTAGAGAGTGAAAAACAGGCATTGATAGAGGAGTCACGCAAGAGAATATCTGCAATTCGTAGGGAATTGGAGGTTAACAAGCACACATTTGTTATACGTTTTAGGATTTTATAAATTTTTAATTTTCTTAGCAAAGCTTAAGTGAAAATGAACAACTAAAACGGAGGAACACGCAATTAGAACAATCATTAAAACAGTCGGTTATGTTGGGAGGTGTGGACGCACCCAAATCCCGACAAGAACAGGAGGAATTACTGTTGAAAGCTAAAACTTTGCTCTTTGAAAAGACCAAAGTATGCAAACAGCAAGAACAACAAATTGAAGTGCTAAAAACACAGGTGGAGGCAATGAAGGATGTAGTACAGGTAACTAAAGATATGCTGAATTTAAAGACCGCCGAATGTGATCACATGCAAGTGCGATTGGAAAAATCACAGCAGTGGATTAAGGCAGAGAAGGATAAATGTATCTTAACAGAAAAAAAATTGGATATTTCGAAGGGAGTATATGAAAAACTACGTGCCGAATACGATATACAGTCGAAAATTTTTAAGGTCAGCGGATTGTCATTCTATCTGATTTAATCTATTAATAGTTAAATTTTTAGGATTTGAAGGAGGTTTATGAACAAAAAATTAAGGTCCTCAGCGCAGCGTTGGAAGAGGCTAAGAAAAAATAGTTAGCTGTTCGCTAGTATTGTGCTGCAAATATATACAATATTAGATTTTTGCATATGTAATTAATTCCCCCCATTTAACAAAAATATTTGAAGCATGTACAATATAGGTAACAATAACAATTTGTATGTGATTGGTGTTTGAATTTCCTTTTCGGTTTATTTTGAATCTTTTTACCGATTAAGGTTAAGTTTTCGAAATGAGACTTCTATCCTTTCGTGCGATATATTTAAGTTTTATCTGAAATCCACTTAGTTTCTAGTAGATGAAAGAAATTATTTTCCTTCTATGTAGATACTATTTGTATTGTATGTCTTTCTTATGCGCTTTGTTGCTGTTGCATCTGCTTTGCCAGTGCAAGTTGTTTCATCTCCATCACGCCAGCAACAGCATTCAGGAATCTACTTTTTTGTATTTGAATTTTTTCAATTTTCTCTATTTGTTCCTGCACATAATCCACACGCCGCATAAAATAGTCCTTAGAACCTTCCAAATTCTGTGTTAAACGTAGATCATAGAAAAACGTTAAATACTTTATTAGCAGAAGACATTAGAATTGAACTACAACCTTTTCTACATAATAGCCGGTGCCAACATCAATTACGAAGTTGTCGAGATGCTTTATGCGACCTGGTACGTACATGCTACTTGTTAATGGCACCAGTACTTGGCGATCTTGCCATTCAGGTTGAAAAGATTCCAGCGCTTCTTTTGAACTGGCATATTTGGCTTTACAACTGTAAAGGGTTTGGAGTGACTCTTGAATGCTGTTAACCTCCTGTAAAAGTATAAATGTTTTTGTGAACAGTTGTATATACATTTTTGCAGTGACGGATGTACCTTTTCCATTTCCTGTCTGATTTGCATCAATTGCTCTAAACTCAGTTTTGCCAAATCAATTTGTTCGGTTTTATCATTGCTACTACTCGCTGACATTATTGGATTTGTTTAGTATTTAGAAATAATCGTTAAAAAAGGGAATATCTTAACAAATGTCTCCAGATCTCGTGCCAATAAGAATTTCCACACCTCCATAGACAAAACCACCAACAAATTCGATGAGTCGCTATCCGAAATGTCAAAATTGTAGTTTCGGACTTCGAATCTAAAGAGTTGCCAGATTTTATTAGTGATGTTATGAAAATACAATTATAAAGCGAAGCGCACAACAGCGCGAACTATCGTTGCGAACTCGGATGATGATTTCGGATCCTCAAACGGATTCGGATTTGTTGTTAATTGGCTGGCCAAAATAAAATAAGCTTGAACGTAAAGGGTTCTTAATGAAAAGAATTTGAAGGAAAAGTATTTTGGTTTTGTTTTTGTGTAGCAAAACTGTAAACAAATGGCCTTATTCATAAAAAATAAAGTAGCTTTAAAAAACGTTTATAAACAGAAAAATTTATGAAAACGTCACTTTATAAAGCTCTTTAAACCTACTTTATTTTTTTATGAATAAGGCCAAAAGGATGTAAGAAATGTCAACGAAAACACCAACAATCGGTGTGAACAGCCTTCAGCCCACAATCCCAAAACTCGTTTTCAAGGTGTTTTCGTTGTTGGTCAGAACATGGTATTAAGGCCCGGCCTGATACAAATTCTTCTCTGCGTCACAGGGATGCTTTTGACTGACACGCGGTCCCACGACAGTCGGGTATACGTAACCGGAACGACCTAGATTTATATTTGGCCAATGACTGTCACTCTAGCAACACTCCCCAAAAACTCTTTGGAGAACTTGTATGTTGCTACAACAACAACAACGGGCATGCGGTTTAGGCTAAGCGCATTGTGGAGCGTCGAGCGTCGAGCAAAGAGCATCGAGCAAAGCGTCGATTAGTCTGCGTTCAAACACGGAAACTCGAGTTTCTTATTATCGGCGATTTCTCTTTTGGTGTTGCCCTTTGCATTCACACACAGAAACTCTTTTGTACGCCATTGTTGTTGTCAGCTGTGAACCGCTAACTTGAATTACTCAGGCGAAGGAGAGCACAAAGCGTGTTTCCCGAGTACAGGCGATTCGGTACCCGTCCCCTTTCCTCGTCGCTCTCTCTCCTACAAGCTTCGAGTTTCCGCAACAAAAGTTTTCGTGTCTGAACATCGACTTTCAAATGTATTTGTTTCAATGGGAGCGCACATAGTGTATGTACGCTTTGCTCTTAGCTGTGCTTTGCTCGATGCTCTTTGCTCGCCGTTCCACTATGCGCCTAGCTTTATAGCTCAGTTATACCATGTTCGGACCGACAGCGAAAACACCTTGAAAACGAGTTTTGGGAGCGTGGGCTGAAAGCTGTTCGCACCGGCTATTAGTGTTTTCGTTGAGATTTCTTTTATCCTTTGTTTACAGCTTTGCTTTCTAGGAAAAAATGGTAACTTCTGTCAACTTCAACATAACCTCCAAATATTGGTCGTAATTTTTTCCTTATTTTGTACGTAAACACACTCAGCTCACACATGTAAATAACCAAAAATACTTTCAAAACCATTAGAGTCCACATAAACAAGTAATTGAATACTTTTTGATATGAATTAGCAGAGTGCAGAGTTTAAAATTTGGTTGCCAAACACACTACAGTTGATCGTTTGACACATTTACCAGAATTTGCCAGCGAAAAATTCTCGGACTAAAACTAGTAACTTCTGACAGAGAAACCGTATTTACTCTCTTTTTTGTCCTCTCAATAGTCAGAGAACCGAGTACGGGATCGATTTCCTGTAAAATCTGACAAATTCTGACTATTTCTGACTAATCCGGACTCGTACGGGCTCGCAACTATTGTGACGCCACGCCCAGTTACTCTCGGCTCTGGCGCAATCTTGTATTCCATCATTCTTGCCGGTTACCCAACGGACAGCAGTATGGTCTGCTTATGTATACTTCGCATAATTCCCATAAACTTCAAACTGTAATTTCGTATGTACTTTGTATGAATTTTGTATGTATTGCATTACCAAGAAGTTAGCAGAACTTTTAAAAACTTAGCGATTTGTTGAGTTTGGTTATGGCATCACATTTTCTTAAGTTAAATTGTTATAGTACTGGTACAAATGGTTGTGCGAAGTTACGCGAAGTTTGCCTAATCAGACCTTTATATGCGTCGAAGCATGGCAGTGCAAAGTATGCTGAGCTTAAGCTTTGTTTCTAAACAGATAATTATCACAAATTATCACTAATTTCTGCTGGAATGTGTTTCTTAACTAGCAGAATTTAGCACCTCTCTCTCGTTCTTACGCTCTTATTTTTTTTTTTGGCTCTCCTGTCAAAATGGATAAACAAAAATTCGCGCCAAATACTTTCAATAGTCAAATACATCGATCAGCTGTTTACTTGCTAGTTTATCGTTTCTTTACTAATTTTCTCAATTTTCCCATTCTTCTTCTTCCTGATAATTATCTGCTACAAAATAAAAGATACAAAGCCATTTACACGTTTGTAATTGAAGCTTTGCCCGATGCTAGCTCTTCGCTTTGCTCGCCTCTCTACTTTTAAGCCTGCTATACAGTTCAATGCGAGTGTGAGCTTTTTATTTTGACCAATATCATCCTTAGTACTTAACTTTTTGCATTAGTTGATACTCTCAAAAGATAGAGAATTAAAATATCTTTCGGGATTATAGAATATAATTTAAAATGCATAATATGCCTTTTTTTCAAGCTCACACTCAACTGTGTGCGTACGCAAAGGATTCGCATGGGAACAACAAGTTTTGACAGATGTGTGTGAGCGTCCATAAGAATACAAATGGAATTCTCTGTCTTTGCGAACGTTCCTAGGGATGCCGAAAAACCATCGATGCATCGAAAATATCGATCGATGCATCGAAAATTTTCCACTCTAAATAGTCGATGCATCGATCAACATCATCAAGTACATCGAATGGCCGAACATCGCTTTGTCTGAAGTTCATAGAGAGGAANAGCTTATAAAATGTTAGTATAATAAAGGGTAAGTTTCAATTGGAGGAAAACTCTATGCGTATCGATGCATCGATGTACGCCCTCCGATGCATCGACAGATATCGATGTAAGTTTCGATGCATCGATGCGAGGAATAACATCGATGTATTTTTGCCACTGACATCCCTAAACGTTCCCGCTTGCTCGCATTGAACTGTACAGCAAGAGGTTTGTATAGTAACCAATAGTCAGTACTAATTTGTACTGGAACCTGCAAATTTTTACTGGAAAAGTGTATGATAACCCAAAAAATTTGCAAGAGAGAATCGAGAGCGTAACAACACGGGAGAGCTGCAAATTCTTGCTAGTGAAATTTTTACTAGCAGAAATTAGCTAGCAGAAGAAGAAGAAGAATAAATGTCAAAAGTCGCCATTTGTTGAATTAGTTTAGCACAAACAAAAGTAAAAGGAGTTTAAATCAAAATATTGTGACTGTGTAAGTGCTTGTGTGTAAAGCAGACCGATTTATAAATAGTAAAATGTTTCTTCTCAATTTTACGCTCTATTTTACTTTTACGCTCTCGCTGCAATGTTTTACTGGAGAAGTTACTATACAAACCTAAAATTTATTGCTGTCCAGCTTTCATTTTGGTCGCTAGATATAAATTATATCAGTGGCAATATTTGTGTGGTCTTTTTATATCTTGATATAAGCATCTGTGAGATAGCTTCTAAAACGTATTTTTGCCGAATTTAATCACTTAAAAAATTTAGAAAATAGGCTATTTTACATTCAATTACATAATTACAAATACTTTAACCGAAAAAATTTCAATATTTGCTTTTATAATAAAATATCAATAATGTTGCCGCCACGAAGTTTTCATGCAAATGAACATGTAGCTGTCAAACTGACAAATTGCCGGCAATAGATGGCAAGATATAAGCTCTGATATATATTGCTCTTGAAGAGCAATGAGCGGTCTCCATTGGCTATTTATATTCTAACATAAGTTGCGATCGCGTACGAGTCCGGACTAGTCAGAATCAGTCAGATTTTACTGGAAATCGATCCCGTACTCGGTTCTCTGACTATTGAGAGGACAAAAAAGAGAGTAAATACGGTTCTCTCTCTGTCAGAAGTTACCAGTTTTAGTCCGAGAATTTTTTGCTGGTAAATTCTGGTAAAAGTGTCAAACGATCAGCTGTAGTGTGTTTGGCAACCAAATTGTAAACAAAAGAAAAGTGCACTCTGCTAATTCATGTTGAAAAGTATTTAATTACTTGCTTAAGTGGATTCTAATGAATTTGAAAGTGTTTTTGGTTATTTACATGTGTGAACTGAGTATGTTTACATAAAAAATAAGCAAAAATTTACAACCGAAATTTGGAGGTTATGTTAAAGTTGACAGAAGTTACCATTTTTTACTAGAAAGCGATCCCGTACTTTTCAATGTTACTCTCTTGCTCTGAGTGAATTTTTATTTTTTGACAGTTTTAAGGTATTCGAACAGACCGAAACGCAAACAGCTGTTTTCTCAAGAATGATAGAATACATTATTTTCTGGACCGTGCTGTTTTCTGTTGTGTAATTTGACATTTTATTATTATTAAATTTTTCTGGAGATGCGTGCGTTCTGTTGGGGAGTTTTGCAGACCAAATAATTAATATTTTTTCAGTTACCATCATAGGTTATGGCCTGCATCCGTGGCTGTCTGAATCTTTTACCTGTAAATATTCGAGCGACGAGAAATTTAAGCATGTCGGCGATGAGACGAGCTCAAGAGGCTTTAGACAAAATTAAGGACAATAATCCATATTTCGAAAAGTATGCTGACAAAATATCAAAACTTCAGAAAACATCGCCGGAAGAGTTCCTAGACCGTGTTGACAAAGTCGTGCACCCTATAAAGGAAGGAAAAAGTCAAGCGCGGTAAGCGTATTTTTCCTTATATGTATTAACGTCAACTTATTGGCAAGCTATTTTCATAGGACATACTCGGAGTTGCTCAATCCAAAACAATCACGGAAGAATGAACAAGTCAGTGAAATACCATATAAGAAGTTGGCGGATATTATGAAACTTGAGCTAATGGAAGATAAGACGGCTGAGGAAATCTCAAAGATTTGGTACGAATACCATAAAACAAAGGATGTGCTTGCGGCCACATTAACCGTAAACCAATTTGATACGCTTATGGAACGCGCGAAGCAATATCCCATATTTTTGCTTCCACTTCCTCGTAGCGAAGGTTTCGAGTTTATAATGCTACAGTTTGCCGCTAATGCGGTTCATTTCACAACTTTGCTAGCCTACCAGGTGAGTGGTGAAAATTTCGTCAGATTAAACATGACTTTTGATACCCGTTATCTGGCAGGTGCATGCTGAAAATGCGCCGGAATGTTTAACATTGGTGCACTACACTGAAATGAAGGATAAAGGTATCATTCTAATGCGCGGTGAATATGATAGCAAAGTCCTCACTGGACAAGAAGCACAATGTTTAGCCAATGAATTGCAAATGTTTTATTACAAAAGTGATCAAAGCAAAATAAAACTCTTGGAAACGTTTAACAAAAAGCCAGATGAGTTCAAGCATACGGATTTAATCAAAGAAGTTGAAAATATTCAGTTGGCTTGAAAAAATAATATCCTTGGAACTTTGGTACATTGTGTATTTATTAAATATGTAGCTTTTAGAATTCTTGCTTCATCGCCAACTGTTTTAAGAATGTTTCTATAAATGTAATAAACGAAAATGAGAAATCTTCGAAATATGGACTTAGTTATAATATCGAGCCCTAACCGCCAAAATAACGTAAGTACATATTATGTACAGTGACGAGCAAAAATGGTCGAATGATGATTATTTATAAACATTCACAATGTTTTCAAGTGTTTAATTTTTTAGTTAGTTTGTTTTTATAAAAACAATGTTCATGCTATAACCGCTAACATATTAATTATAGTTCCGAACTATAATTAAAAAAATTCTTAAAACTTCTATCAAAGTTTCCAACTTGTCAACAGGGATTTTATGACAACTTTCTGTTATGTTCTTTTATAGCCAACGAATAAGTTGTAAGTTTTAAGCGGTTAATGAATCGCGTTGATTTCACTGCATCCAAATTTTAATTTTGAGTTTGTTCTCCAGACGCCACTATCCAATTCCTATGGATACGTTTTCGAGATGTTTGCAATTTACCGTTATTCAGCTTAAAAAAAGAGTGGTTCCACTTAATCACAGTATACAGTAAACCAGCCATTGACAATATGCTTATTTGAAAATTAATACATGAAATATTGTGCATGTATAGGATTATTTTGTCATTAACCCATAGGCAATGACTGGTGCAAAAGTACCCCCAAATGTTTGTTGATATATTTGAAATGTAAATTTTAACAGCGAAATTCGTAAACAAAAAATAATAAAACAAAAATATTGTTGATGGGAGGTGGTCGTGGTTATAGACAGATTTCACCAAAATTTAATACTATCCTAAATTATACCAAAGGCAACTTCGGCACCGACTTTCGTTAAAATATCTAAATTTTGTTCGAGTTAGCGTGTTTACAAACAGATACCAATTCATTTCATTTCGTCATTCTGAATATTTTGATAAATATGTATGTAATAATATGTGTATATACATTTTATACCGTTGAAAAACGGCCTTGCTTATCTGCATAAACCTTTCCTGCATTAGTTCGAGCGTCGATATATAACTTTGGGTACATGTTTCATAAAAACTTTGGAGATCTCCACTATGACAGTGGTATATTTTTAAATTATTATTGACTCAAAGTTGCGTTTGGAACCAGATATGACTTATGTTGGAACTGCATCCGGTTATAATCGCTTACGCTGCAAGCCTGATTTGCTAGGAATTTTGTTTTTCTCGTTGTTTTATTTAAAGTGACTTGGAAATATTTGCCACTATAAGAAAATATTGAAATTGGATTTCATTTGGGTTAAAGAAAACGACAGCTGTGAAAAAATATCAACCAATACATTCAAATAAATTGTCAAATAAGCATATTTACATTTTTTGTTTTGCCTATCTGGATTACTGTATACTGTGCACTTAATCAGGTATATCTTACGAACCAATTAAATAATCGTAATACGAGACACGGAAAATGAAAGCAAATAATATTCTCCATAAACTGTATATACATCACTTTTCGATAGCCCTGACAGTTTCAGAAACTCATCAATCATTCCCAATTTTATGTTTTTTTGATGGAAAAATGCAAAAAATTCCAACTTTAACAGGGAATTAATTAAATAAAATAACAGTTTCTGTGTAAAAATTTTGTACTTGTGTTAAAGCCTGTTCCTGTAGAAAAAAAATTAAGCTACCAATGAAGCAAATCGATGGATAAATAAGAAAATAATGAAATGAAAATGCGCAAGGAATTCTTGTATGAAATATGAGCAGAAAAGAGTGTTATTCATATGCCACGTACACCTGAGTAGGTAGAGTGTTTGCATCGAAAACAAGAGGTGTCAGAAATGATTAATTAATTTCTCAGAAACTATAACGGCATATAGGTAAATAATTATAGATATTAGTTGCGTTCCAGATGCTTCACGATATTCACGAAATTCACGATTTGCAGGAACAGCTGTTTTCTCCATTAATAAACCTTATGGGAGGTGGTCACCTGGAACGACATCCTGTAAAAACCTGCAAATCGTGAAGCATCTGGAACGCAACTATTGTCTTCCCAGAGAGCGTATATTACGATCTGCCTTATTTAAAAAATATCATTGTTGCCCACATACCACACCAAACCATACCAAGGCGTATTTAACAGATGATAGCAGCACCCTTTTATTTTTCTTCGCCTCACGGCTTCATATGTCAAATGGCTGCTGTTGATTGGTTGCTGTGAATCCCAAACGACATGTCAGCTATATGTCGTGGTGACAATGTCATGCGGGTGTACTCCTATCAAAGACTTATAAGTTATAACACACAACGTCTTGCAGCAGTCACTTATAAAAGGTCCATTGCAAGATACTGTCGCTTGAATGCCATTAATGATCCCTGCATGACCAAGTCATGCAGATCACATGGTTGGTTGTTTGGTTAAAGTGGCGAGTTTAACAACTCCAATTAGCACTTATGCGCGCCGTTTTAAAACCACTACTCGCAATTTAAACCTGAAAAGAAAGCCCGAAAAGAAAGCAGCAGAAGTCGGTTATATATCTCAAATCCAGCCTGTGGAGTTCAAGAACTTAAAAAGTTGCAGTGGGTTAATATCAATTATGTCTGTTAAACCGCAGAAGCAGGGTTTGCCTAGAAGCCTGATTCTAGTCTTACATAGTGCTGGGCAATCGCAGAGCAGATGCTCCACCGTTTCTTCTGCATCTGGTGAATTACAACTTCGACAAGATATGTTGTGTTCCAGTCCTAGTCTTGCGGCATGGATGCCCACGGCCCAGTGGCCTGTGTAAACGGCAGTTAGTCGAGATAGATCCCTCCTGTTTAGTTTGATAAGAAAAACAGTGCGTTTTGCGCAGTAGGTGGGACACAGACTCTTGCAGACTCTGTAGGAATGTAGGTTTTTCCACCCACTGTTAGCCACATTCTTCCAGTGCTGAGAGATGCGGCTCTTGATATAGCTCAGAGGCACAAGGACCTCCTTTGCCTCTGAGATATCCAGAGCCGATCCATTCCTGGCCAGCTCGTCAGCCATCTCGTTGCCATGAGTTCTGCTGTGCCCCGGCACCCAGATCAGTGCAACGACGTGCCTGTCAGCTAAAACCATAGCGTTCTCCCTGCAGTGTGTTATTATGCTGGAGGGGATGATTACAGAGCCAAGTGCCTTGATCGCTGCCTGACTATCTGAGAAAATAACAATGCTGAGTCTCGCTAGCTTCGAGGCTAAAATTATTTCGGACGCCTCATTTATGGCAAAGTCCTCTGCCTGAAAAACATTGGCCGCATTAGGTAATCGAATAGACTCTTCAATTTGGAGGTCGGTTGAAAAAATTCCCGCCCCTGCCCCACAATCCATTTTTGAACCGTCCGTAAAAACGGATACTTGGAAGCGTTCAGTAAAAACAGGATCCTTCCACTCCTTTCTTGATGGAAAAATCGTGCCGAAGTTTTTCTTGAAGAAAAGCGAAAGACAAATGTAGTCAGTTTTTTTCGCGAATGCTTAGGTCTTTGAAAGAATACACGTACGTACGTTCTTTCCACAATCCAAGTTCCCTCAACCTGAGTGCACTCTGTGAAGCACTTTCCGTAATAAAGAGATCAATCGGTGGCAGATGACAGATGACCTTCAATGCTTCCGTTGGACATGATCTGATCGCCTCAGTAATCGCAATGCAGGCTGACCTTTGTACCCTGCCTAACATTGTGCGTATGTAGTTGATATCTACGGCTTTCCACCAAACCAGCGAGCCATATGCAATAATTGGGCGAATCACCACCTTGTACATCCATAGCATAAGATCAGGTCGTAGGCCCCACCTCTTACCCAGCATTTTCTTGCAGGAATACAGGGCACCATAGGCCTTTTTTACTCGGTGCTCTGCATTCATTTTCCAGTTTTATTTCGGTGTGAGAATGACTCTCAAATACTTAGCGTAAGGGGAAAGAGAGAGAGAGTAAGCCCGTTCAAGGAAGGTAGGTTAAAATTAGGAATCTTATTTCTTGTAGTGAATAATAGTAATTCGGTCTTCGAGGGATTAACGTTGAGCCCGCAGCCATTTGCCCAAGAACCCAATTCCCCCAGTGCTCTTTGAAGCATTTCGCTTATCACATTCATGCACAATCCGGATACCATAATCACTACATCGTCTGCATACGCAACAACTTTGACCCCTTTCCTGTTGAGTCTTAGAAGAATGTTGTTAAGTACGCAAAGCCACAGCAGCGGCGACAGTACCCCGCCTTGCGGAGTCAACCGCTTTGGATGACCGATGACTACGCTGGTGCCTAGCTTAGCGTTTACAATCCTTGTACGAAGCATGGTAGATATCCAGTTTACCAGGAAGTTCTCAATCCCCAGGTTTCTGAGTGATTGCTCTATCGCCTCCAGACTAACGTTGTTGAACGCCCCTTCTATGTCCAGGAAGGCCGCCAACGTATATTGTTTATTTTCCAGCGATGACTCTACCTTGTGTAAGACCTCATGGAACGCAGATTGTGTGGAGCGCCCTTTTAGGTAAGCATACTGTGCTGTAGACGATTCTCCATTGCCTAGTTTCGAACGAATGTGCATGTCCAGTAGCCACTCGAAAGTTTTCAGTACAAAAGACGAGAGACTGATGGGTCTGAAGTCCTTAGGCACCGTGTGTCCTCTCTTGCCTACCTTGGGAATGAAAACTACTTTAACACTTTGCCAATTAGACGGAACATGGTTGAGCATTATGCATGCTTTGAAAATGCTATCCAGCTATGAAATACCTCAGGAATGGGCCTCCTGTAGTATTGCTGGAAAGATCCCGTCCGGACCCGGAGATTTGTACGAGCTTACCATGGCACCGTTACTCACTGAGGCGACCCGGTGTCAGTTAGGCACCGTAGAAATACAGTCCGTTACCCCCGACTACAAACGTCGTCCAATAGGCACGGTTCGCTTAACCCCTTGGATTGAGGGAAACCTCCGAACCATGATCAAAGGGCATTGCGATGGGCTGTGCTATTGAAGAGCAGCGAGCCATCCCGCGATTCCCCCTGATCTTAGCAGGATACCGTTCTGACAACGCACAGAACATACTGGAGTATCCATTTCCAGCCGGCACCCTCGGGGAG